TAATGATAGCAATCTCCTTTGGCAATTATTTTAGTTTAATATTTTTCAGCATTTTGAACCATATAGACATCTAAACCAATGCAATTGGAAGATTCGAACTAGTGATCTCCATTAGAATTATGAAACACTTAACCACTATGGCATTTGGTGGGTGTTAACATTATATTTAACAAAATTAACATTATATTTAACAAAATTATGTATGTTCTTTTATCAAGTAATAGATATATTCCCACTTTGCTTTTAAATTTTTTTAACTAAAATTCAACCTTATAATGAGATTATTAAAATAATCATTTTTTTCTGTTAGATTGAAATTATGTGCAAATCAAACCAAGAAAGTAAATAATTGGACCCCTTTTTCAAACATCAAATTGTTACTCGATAAACATTATTAGGCTAGTAGATAATGCACACCCACACTTACAATACAATATAAGTAATTTCAATTCACAGCATTGGCTATTATTCCGGCCATCAACAGTCAACAATCGTCCGTGCTATTAGGCAATTTGTTTTCAAACGACCTCCCCGGGCGATGATGTAACCTCGGTTTTTATTATCAATCGGCCTTGGCTATATGATTGACTAGTACATTGACAAAATTATCGAGACAACACAATCCACATTTTTATGGACCGTTTGAAGCAACCTATTTTAAATAGTGTTGCTCACGGTTCGCCCCATTTCCTTGGAAAGCTATATTATTATTTTTGAAGCCCACTTTAATTGAGTCGAGCCTTGTTTTGGTCCACAATTTAACCCTAACCTAACTTACCCATTTGGACATTTACTTGGCATATAATCCCACCTTCCTCTCGGCCTACATGGAGAGTGCCTATTTTTCCCTTCTCTTTGTGAGACTCTCTTCTCGGTTTCTTGCTATACTTCACTGTGACCTTTGTGGTTAATTCTTTGTGGGCACATCATTGGACTTCACTTTCCAACCTATAGCAACCGGAGTGGGGCGGCGGCAGTGGTGGTTCTTGGAGTTGTCTCAACCTTTGTGGTGTCGATGAATTGGTAAACTGGGCCCGGTTTTGTACTTGGAGTTTGGTGGAAATCAACCCTACACGTGCTCACTCAAAATCTTATATTCGCCACTGATCTCTTCTATGTGCGCTTGCATGTGCACGTTTTAATCAATTTCAGTTTATAGGGTAGTGATAAGTTTTTAAGACTCTTATCTATTTATTTTTCATGGTCTATATGTTGTTATTGTTCATTCTCTCTCACACACACACTTGCATAGATGCATCAAAGCTGCTCAGAATTCTGAGCAGATGTATGTATACTGAATACACTCAACTCCAAAATTTGGATAGTCATTCTTTCCCTTCGTAATTGAACTTTATCTTAAAGATGATTGCTGAAACTATGGATACTGATAAAAAGCGTTGGGCTGCGAGAAAAGAAGAAAACTTGCAAGCTCTGTTGTCGTCGTTGCAGTAGGTTTTTTCTTTAACCATTAAACCCCTTCTCTTTCTGTCTTTTATGTTGCAGAGTTAATAGTACTGTGGAAGATTTTTCTATTTGTTTTTGTATTGCACAGTTTTCCCCCTTTATTCTTCTTCTTGTTGTGTCTATGCTAGTGCCAACATTCCCTTGGTAGGGATGGATAGGTGGGTTGCTTTGGGGGCAGAGTTGTCATTCAGTCTATGCAGAAAGAATACTCCATTTCCTAATTGAGTCACTCTTTTTATATATTGATATTCTAAACTAATGGTGGCTTATCCAAGTCGAAACGTTTTAAACCATTCTTTCCAAACTAAGATGATTTTGTCACATTGAACTATTGAAGCTTCTTAAAGTGATTGACGGATTCAATGGGAGGTTTTCAATTCAACGTGAAATAAAGAAATATTGTTATCCCTCGGGGCATAACCCAGTGGTGCAAACGACAGAAGTGAGGTAGTTTCAGCCGCAGTGTGAGGGTTCGATTCATGAGATATGAAATTGAACTCTTTGTGGACACCGATGTACGGACAAACTCTTGTTTCCTGATCTATTTGGATACATCCCGCAATTTACCTCCCTCACGATATGTAAATGAGGATCAACTTGGCATAAATCAATCAATAGCTAATTGTAATTTTCATGTTGTGATCTATATGGATTTTATGTTCATATAAGTTGGATTATTTTAATCTTAACATTTCCAAATATCTATTATGGGCAGGGATCCGAGTCATCGGCATCCTGGCAAGTCAATCTACTCTTTCACCCAATTTAGTTCGAGGTGATAGTCAAATACTCTTTCAAACTTGTGTCCATTGTTGAAGGTATCTAGGAAAACATGCACTTATTTTTCTGAAGTTTCTTTCTAGAAAACCACGGATTACTCATGGAAGATCATTTGTGTAAGTACTATAGACACATTTTTTTCCATATCAAGGACTAGATGGTGCTTGAGCATGGAGGAATTTACGAGATTGCGAAGGAGATTTACCTTGTTATAGTTCATTCCGTCCCACCTTCCCATTCCCATTTCAACCAACTTGTGAATGCCTTTCACATTTAAAAATGAATTTCTCTAAAATTTAAGTACACTTATTTTTAACATTAACCAACTAACGTGCAACACACGTTCATCCCCCTAATCTTATGAAACACGTCTGCCATCATCATGTTTTAGTCATGGGCCCTCTTGATTAAATTCAATGAATTGTACGAGTGAGTAGCTAAAAACCCAAATTTCTTCTTTCATTGGAGGTAAAATTTGGTACTAACGATGGACATAAAAATTAGGAGAATAAGTCATTAAGGAAGTCTTTGTTGATGCATAATTCTAATTTTCATTGACTCCAACTCTCTAATTGAAAATAGGCCTCGTCTTCCTTCAACCATTCACGGAGCCTAACAAATGCCTATTCTAAAGATGAAGGAAGAATTGGACAAGATGATACTAACAGATATTTAAATCATAAAATAAACGATTTAAATAGACTCGTTCAGAAAAAATTGATCTTCAAATTGAGTTTCAAAGAACTCGACATCCAAATGCAACCAACCCACAAGGATCGCTATACAGCTTTGTGCCCCTCTAATTACAAAAAATAACTTGTCGACCAAAAGAAAGCACAAAATAGAAATGTAACATGAGTACTCGATAAGCATGCTAGCAAGTCAATTAGAACTCAAAAATTACTCGAAAAATGAAACTAATTTGAGTAATATGCATTTTAAGCATGTAAAGAAGAATGGATAAATGGTAAATCGTCCATAGTATTGGAGGAAAAATAATTAGTCAACTTTTTGTTCATTTACGTCACATTACGCAATGATTTCAAGAACAATAATATAACACTTTTTTTTTTCTTTTTTCCTTTTTTTTTTTTTCAATGGGAATGAACTACTTTTAGTATTGCGCTGCGTCACGATTGATCAAGATTGGACACAAAACTATCTATTTCCTCGTTACTTCCTAATGCTATATGATATATTATTCATCCACCCTCAATAAACGTGGTCCAAATCAAATGTAGAATAACAGTGATAGTTTTGTCTTAGTCTCACGGCTCTTTCAGCTTATTTTTCCTTAAATCTAATTTTAAGGACAACATTCTTTCAATAAAATAATTTGAAACGTGAGCTTAAAAGTTTTTCCTAATTTTTAACTACACATTCTTAAAATATAAAAAAATAATAATAATAATAATCATTTTATTCTGCTTGTACATCCTGTTTGAACCCCCATTTTTTGCCAAAAGTACATTTTGAAATAGTGATTTGATGGAGAATACATGGTTAAAAAAAAAATTGAATTTGCATGTAATATTATTTTTATTGAAGAATGTGTGGTTAAAAACAAAAGAGATAAAAATGTATTTTAGAAATAATGGATACCAGGCAAGGGCTAATTTGTATATTGACTTGTCTTCGGCACCCGTCAGGAAGGGGCAGTTGACTCTAATCAAGAGACTGTTAGTAGACTTCACACCCAAATCAAAATCAGCAAAGTCTTGCACGAGACTCAGACTCTTGTGATGTTACACAGTTACTGGGCCCTCCCAATAAGTAATTTAGCCACCATGCAAAGCAATAAGCAGTAGCTACCTACGAAACTTCTTTCGACGTCTTAGGAAATTTACCAGGAAATAGGAAGTATCCTCAGCTGATGATACATCATATATAAACAGCATGCAAGTTGAGTTGATAGGCATGGATAATCATAACCTCCACAATATAAACATTCCCGGCGCCACTTATGGAGCTGAAGCGCCGGACACTCCGGTGAGTGAGTACACCGTCCCTGAGAGGAACTTCGAAGTGTCTGATTTCTTCGAGCTCGATGAGTGGATTGATGAAGATCCAGCATTTGTTGTGCCTGGTTATCCTCAGAATCCCGGTTATGCAGCAAATGAAGCTGTAAACTCCAGTGGAATCAGTAGTGGCTATCATGAAGGAGATAGTAGCAGTAAGCAAGTCTAGAATGTCATTACTTAAAAGAATTGTGTGTATATTATTGTGGGTTATATGTATTGTGATTGTGTTACTAGCAGGTGGAGGAAGTGGCAGGGAGAAGACAGAATTGAAAGAGAAGGTTGCTTTCAAAACGAAGTCAGAGATTGAGATACTAGATGATGGCTTCAAGTGGAGGAAGTATGGAAAAAAGATGGTGAAAAACAGCCCAAATCCAAGGTATACAAACTAAATTTCTCTTTATGCGTGAGACTTGTGAAAGAGTCGAGCTCTAACTACCGTATTATGTAATCAAATAGGAACTATTACAAGTGTTCAGTTGAAGGCTGTCCGGTGAAGAAGAGAGTCGAAAGAGACAAAGAGGATCCGAGGTATGTAGTAACGACGTACGAGGGCATCCATATCCACCAAGGCCCGCAGAACTAGTGGAAATTTCTGAAATAACATCACTGTTTTACAATTATAGTTAAAAATAATAATAATCATTTTATTCTGCTTGTACATCCTGTTTGAGCCCCCATTTTTTGCCAAAAATACATTTTGAAATAGTGATTTGATGGAAAATGCATGGTTAAAAAAAAAAAAAATTGAATTTGCATGTAATATTAGTTTTATTGAAGAATGTGTGGTTAAAAACAAAAGAGAGGAAAATGTATTTTAGAAATAATGGATACCAGACAAGGGCTAATATGTATATTGACTTGTCTTCGGCACCCGTCAGGACGGGGCAGTTGACTCTAATCAAGAGACTGTTAGTAGACTTTACACCCAAATCAAAATCAGCAAAGTCTTGCACGAGACTCAGACTCTTGTGATGTTACACATTTACTGGGCCCTCCCAATAAGTAATTTAGCCACCATGCAAAGCAATAAGCAGTAGCTACCTACGAAACTTCCTTCGACGTCTTAGGAAATTTACCAGGAAATAGGAAGTATCCTCAGCTGATGATACATCATATATAAACAGCATGCAAGTTGAG